TGAGTCAGACATTAAAAAGTTGTTTATCTGATCATTATTTTAAATTTGAAATAATGATTGAGTGAAAACTGGTGCAAAAATCTGTTTTATAATTACAAATAATGAAACACATTTCATTTTGAGTAAATTTTAGTATGGTTAATGTTCCGTAAAGTGTGATGTCTGCGATTAAAAGATTCTCTGCATAGAAAAACATTAATATTCTCAACTGAATTAACAAACGCTCGTGACACATCATACGCTGTTAAGAGCTAAAAATACTCCCTAGGGTTACGATATATGTCCATAATAAGTAAAGCAAAAGCCTTTGGAAAAACGTCAAACCCTATTAAATCAAATCGTAAACTTTTAAATCAATGAAATCTTTCTTTTTGTTAGAAAGAGTAACATCTACACTACAAGTTTTGTACTAGACATATTTTTCTAAAGTTCTTGGAACTTCATCATCGCGCAACATCATTTTTCTATTTTTCGTTAATTTTTTTTATATCAGCAGTGGAATGGAAAAAACATGTTTAATGATGATTTTTTTAGCGTAAAGAGTACTCTTTCAAATCATGCATTGGAACTTAAATTTATTATTGTTTTTTATGACAGAATATAGTTATTTCTGAAAGAGACTCTTTAATTTGGTTGTTCTTTTTCCCTAACAGTTGTGCAACAATAAAAAATTTATTTTTTTAATTTTTTCTGCTGAATTTCTATTATCTCACGTATTTCGAACTAATAACGCATAAAAAATTCAGTTCATGTATGATTTCTGGAGATTGTGATTGATGTCTTTTGGAACTGATTGTTCGTGTAAAACTGTATTTTTATAAAAAATTTTACCAAAGCTGAAACAAATTGAGCTTTTGACATGCTACATTTTAGAAACTTTTTTTTTATAGAATTTACTCCATGTAACTGAAATTAAATGAGAAATAGAAACTTTTCAAATGGCAAAAATCTATCAGAAGTGTTTGACTTTCGTCTTTTCCTTCTACTTAGAATCGTTCTCGAAAAATATGTCTAGTACAAAATTTGTTGTTCAGATGTTACTCTTTCCGACAACGAAAAAACTTCATAGGTGTAGAAGTTAGTAATATGATGTAAGAGATTTGACATTTTTTGAAAGACTTTTGCACGACTTATTATGCCTTACGTAAAACCAGCTCCCGATTTAATCGTCATATAGAACATAAAGAAACTAAAGACCTATGTAACCCCTTCTGACATATCTCTAGAATGCTTATGATAAGCGGTGTTTATTTAAATGCTTTTGAAGACTTTAAATAGAAGAAAAAGTAAAGATTTAACAATAATTTTTGCAGAATAGTAGCAAAGATAAAAAGGAACAAAGGAATTTCGTTCTAATCATGATATGACATAAATAGAATAATGTAAACATATAATTCATAACGATCGATCATAGGGTTACAGATTTTTTATTGATTGTTAATATCAGCTTGGTTTGTTTTCATTTCTTTGCATATTTAATTTGTTGTTCTTTTGATAAATATTGTTAATTCAAGCAAATGAAAATTATTTCTATTTTTATTTATAACTCTTGAAGTATTTCTTGTATTCATGATTGCATAAGACAATTTTATCAATTAGGTCGCTCAGTAGTTTTTGGCAGTACAAGGAGTTAAAATTCTGATAGTCTATCGGAGGTAGTCTGTTTGGCAAAAGCTAACAGAGAAACGTTGTCTTCTAAAACTTGGCAGACAGTTTTCTGATAACAGCTCACAATTTTTACAGACATGAGGTGAAACATAGGGAGAAAACTATTCCAACCCAACTCCTTTCATATCGACACCTCTGTTTCTCATTCATTTATCATTTTAAAAAGAATATTCTACATATAACAAAAGAAAAGATCTTTTAATAAATTAATCTAATTACTTTTTAATAAATCCTTATGAAATTCCCTTGAAATGTTCGATCATACACAAATAGTTTTATCATATTATTTTGAATAATTCAGTAGTTTTCTTTTTATTATCTTTTGATAATTTATCTCTCAATTTTTTGTTCAATTCTTACAGAATTAATTAATTCTTCTGAAAGAGTATTTGACGACGAAAACAAAAAAGATCTTGCAAAAGAATATTTTTTATGATGTAACCAGGCATTAATCTTTATATATAGCATTGGCAAGAAAATTAATTGAAGAATGTTTAGCTGATTGAAGTTTTTCGTAAATTTTATATCACTCATAATTTGTTTAAGCAAAGATTTTTCGATCAATTATATACATTTGTCATTTAATATTGCATTAATAAATGAGATAATAAAATTTGTGTTTGTTTGAATATATATTCTTCAATCTTATGAAGAAAATTTGTTAAAATTCAATAAAATTTCTATTTCCATGTAGTTATGGTTTGCATTATAACACATTTTAATGACTTAAAAGCAAATGTATTTGTCATCATTCAAAATATAACATTTTTTTCTACTGTTATGTGTAAATGAGTTTTTTTGATCGAAACTTCTATGAGTACATTCGTGGTTTTGATAGCTTTTATTGCATCTAAAAAGTATCATTTTAAAGCGTTTCAATTTTATGTGCTACAGAACATGCATTCTAATATTGTGTGTCGCCATAAAACATCTGAAAGTGTTTCAAAATATTTTAAATTTCTTATTGAGAAAAAGAAAATAACAACTATTTTATGATATTAATCATCTGTTGTCATTATATGAAATATTCACTTCACATAGGAAACATACTTCAAAATCGTTGAATAAAACTCATCAGATGATATTCGACTACTGTAACTTCGTATTGAAAGAAAGCTGTATTATTTTTCATAATTGGTTCATAAAAATATATAAACTAAAAAAAATTTCTTTTGTTTTTCTTCACATACATTTAGATTTTATTAGGACAATTATTATAGATACTAATTCATAGTACATGAAAAGAATCAGCATGAAATTAAGAAACTAATTGCTCAACAATGTATGTGTGTACTCTTGATAAGGACCAAATGAATTTCATCAAAACAATAATAATGAAATAAACAGAATTATAAAAAATACAATATCGTTAACAGATGCATTTTTCTTATATATATATATATATATATGGGAGTTATCAACTTGACTGGTACCCCGTTTTGATACAGCCCTATTGTAAGGATAAAACCTACTATTGTCCGGGCCATATAAGAGAGGATTCTACATAACCCTAGATTGGCCCGAACAACATCATGTTTTATCCTTACAATAGTACAGAAAACCTGCCAGCTCCCATGTGTGAGCTAGCGGTTATTCCCTACTATNNNNAACAACACTATGTTTTGTCCTTATAATAGTGGAGAAAACCTTTCCTGATTCATTTTTATACCTATACTTAAAAGTTAAATATCTCCCTCTAGGCAAGCCATTAGCAGCTAATATTTTAACCCTGTTAGTTTCTCGGTGAGAGCTTTCATTTGACCCGAATATGTGCCACTTTTTCGTTTGACAACACAAACACCTCCATTGTTAGTATGCGACTTCCAACTAGTATTTTAATTCTTAATATATCAAAACTTACTGAAAATGTAATTTGCTATATACCATTGGATGCGCCGTGAGCTGCTCTACAAAACTACATATGTGCCTTTTCAATTCAAACGAAATTACAAATTTGTCAGTCATTTACTTTTTTTGAATTTTTCAGCATTTTCCGAAAAAAAAAATATCTTCAATGTCAAAATACGCTGTTGTTTGATTCTAATACCACCATTGGATAGAGCAAACAAAGTTGTCTATCATACATAAGTTTCGCAAAAGTCTGCCATTCTAAAGGTTGTTTTTGAAAGAAATTTTTGTATGACTCAAAAAAGTTTTGGTCCAATACTTTTTTGAGCAACTGTATATATCATGTAGAGTCTAATGAGTTATCAATATCCTGAAAAATTTTCGTTCTGTTAACTTATGACTGCCGAGATATTGAACTTTTATAGTATTTTTCAAATTAAAGCCAAGATTCTCTTGTAGAAACATCGAAAAAATTAATATTCGAGTTATATCTTGAAACTTTTCATACAGACAGATCTTAATGAGAGTTGTTTATTATAAATACTTCAGGCTGCCTCATTATTCCTATTTTAAGACATAGCTATGGTAGAAGCGTATCTTTTACATCGCTTATAATAGACAGAAAGATTACATGTTCTTCTGTAACGATCGAAGCAGATCAAAAGATCTCAAATTTTTACAATAAGCTTTTCTTATGAAGATCTATCTCTGGGCGAAGTTTCGAATAGAAATTCGAAAATTAGCTTTTTCAGTCTTTCTCAGGAGACCAAGACTTTTATTCGAAAAATATCGTAAAAATGCAGTGTCTCGGCAACCATAAATAGTTAATCATTCATTATCAAGATTCGTTTAACTTGAAATTTTCAGGGATGAGTGATCCTAATAAGAAACTCCTTCGGTTAAAAATTCAATCCGATATGTAGAACTAGATCAAAATGGTACCTTACTCATAGTCCATATATGATCTGGTGTAGTTTTTATCCGAATAGAGTTTAAAAATTCGCTTTCGTTCATTTTCTATAAGCAATTTAATAGACTTAGGGTCACAATAAGTATTAACAAGCTGACTCTATAACAACAATTTGCTTTAACGTGGAGTTTCGATTTCGCTCCCTAAAACTATGCTTTCAATAAAATGAAAAAGTTATTTAAAACCTATTTCTTCGACGAGATTTCTAGTGAATCGCATTGCAAGCCTTATTAGTTACTATCTAACTCAAAGACTATTTTTAAGATTTCAAAAAATAGAAAGTATGTAGTACCTTTCTTGCGTCAAAATAATTCTACTAAAGGTTACATCAAGACGAATCGTCTAGTTTAAAGCTGCTGAAAATCTAACTATTTAATAAAAATAACTGTAAGTTCTAAACGAAGAATGATTAAAGCTCAAGTTTAATTGTCCTTTGAAAAATTGACTTTGCTCAGAGAGCCTTTAATTTGTAAAAGTTTAATTTTAAAATATCAGTTACATACACAAGTATTATTTAACCACCTGTCGAATAAATATTATTAACATTTGTTTGAATAATTTGAATACAATTTAATAGAATAGGATGATCGATTACATTTGAAGTGGCAAATGTTGGATCAATTTGACATAGAAGTTGAACAATATCACATAGAATACCATGAGTTTGATTTCCAACATTCTAATAAAAAAAAAGAAATTTGAATCTTTGTTTTCTCTCTTCGTTTTGACTCAATAATACAAACCATCCCAGCTAAATTCATAACATCAATCAGATATGACCGAATAGTTTGTTGTTCAATTAATTTAACAAGTAAAAAACAATGAAGATCAACATGAGATTTCTATAAAATCGAAACATTTATTATCTTGATCGAAAACAAACGACAAAACTCAATATTTTCTAATTATTCTACATACGATCATCATTTGGTTTCATATTCATAATGTAGATATATCTTTTATCACTCAATCAATATAACAATTTTCTGTGATAGTCTAGGTCTATTCTAAAAGATATTTCAAGATTATCGTCAAGTTACGTGTGCATGTACGATCATTGTCCCATTTCGCACTGTATGATTTACTTTGCAATAGAAATATTTTCATCTGCAACCTATTGTGAGAAGGTATTTACATGACTCTAAAATAATTTCAATTAAACTAAACACAGTAGGAATACAGTAATGACAAAAAGAAATCATCTATAGCACGGAAGTCTTGGCACAAAATATTCACTCACTTTTCGGTCACTTACAAGACAACTGGTCAAAACCAGATATAGTTATTGGGAATCAAACTTTTTCGACCTTTCTGAATATGTATTCAGAATTTTCTTCTGAGATAAGATTAGACAGCATTCATCAGAATACTTCAAACGGGCCAAAATAATGGTTTTACAGAATAGTATTATAGTCAAGTTTTTATTTCGATTGAATCCTATCAAATTCAAAAAAAACCAAAAAGTTTTTAATGACTCCGTTTGATTTGCTCTACAAAACAAACTATTTACTTTCACATGATAAGTTTTACAACTTTTGTATTTTTAAAAGCAGTTTTTGAAATAGGGAATTTTGACCAATGTCAATTCTGATAGAAACTAGTTCTTTAGTGAAAACTATATGTTTTCATTTATTGTAATATCACATTTCGTACAGAATTCAGTAATGATGAGTTAAAGTTGTTCCAAGATGCAAACTAAGAACTGCATCAAAGTCGTTATTTTTCTCTGTAAAAACACAGTTTTAGACTTTATTTTTTATAAAATTTACTGATAGTTGCTGAATCTTAACTGAGAAGGAAAACTTGAACATATATTTGAAAATAGCGGAAAGTTTTAAGTCTAACTAGTTGTCTTTTAGTGGTCGCAAAATGTGAAGAATAAATAGAAACCAACTGAATGTGTTATTTGCTTTGGGCCATAGGAAGGTGTTTTATTCAGCTTCTGAAAAGGGAAGGAATTGTGTCCTTTCCGGAGTTTTAAATCGTCTCCACGAAAGAAAAAAATCTAGATAAAACACTATCTGGGGAATATTCTATTGAAAATAATTCTTGTTCTTTTTGTTTTTCTCTTACTAATAAATTTCGTAATTGATTAACCGAATCATTAAGTGTATTTCTATCACGTCCTAATGTATAATTTCGTTCTTCACAATCATTTGAACAAGTACTTATTGTTTCAATTAAATGTCGAAATTGCTGAAGATCAGGATGATCAATACTTTGCTCAAAGCGCTAAAATCAAAAAGAAAAATTTTCAATTGCTTATTTTCTTTCATAGAAAAATTTTACTTCAATAGCTTTATTTAATTCATTCCATTGATTATCTTTTAGATGAGTTTGTGATAAATAAGAAAATATTTTTGATGAAAGTTGTGAACAAATAATATAATTTGATTTTGTTGTTGAATGAATTAATGAAATAATATTCGAAACAATATCATCATTATTCATTATTTTGTTTTTCTTTCAAAATTGAATGAAAAATTCTAATTGTGTTTTTTTTTTCTTCATTCATGCTTTTGTTTTCTACACGATATAAGTTTTAAAAAATTTTATTGGCTAAAAAATTTGATCAATGAAATATTTTATTTGCTTGTTGTTGTTGTTTATGCGGTCAATCTGTCTTTGCTAACATTTCGTTCGTTCGTTTGCATTGTGTCAATCGTAAACAACATTTATACATTATCAATATGGTTATTCATGATCGTATGTTATTAAAAATTTATTTTTGAGAATAATTGTTATTGATGTTGTAATATATCTTTTTGTATAGGTGATATTGATCGTTTTGCTGATCGCAGTCGAGAACTTTGGACTGAACGAACAATGTCGGATATAAAATATAGACAAAATAGTTCGTTTAAAATGATTTCATATTAGAATATTTATTATAATATAATTTGTATAGATTTTCTTCGTTGTTGTGGAAGTTGTCCATTTGCATCCTTACTTGCATTTGTTATAACAATAGTTGGTACAAGTATTTTTTGTGGTTGTCTTTATTATCCAATTCGAGCATCTATTGAACAAATAAATAATGCTTTTGAAACTGAATATATTGATTATGAATGGTATGAATTTAAAATTTAATTAAAATTTACAATGTTGTTTTTTGTTTTTATAAAGGATTCGTATATTACGTTTGACAGTTATTTTTATTCTTGCAATAATGGGAAGTTTTTCATTGATATTACTTATTATCGGATCATTAGCTACAGGTGCTACACGTCATCAAGTTTATAGTGGATTTCGTTCTCGACTTGGTGGTCGAATTGCAACAGGATTTGTAAATATTAAAACATAAAAAATATTTATTATTCATATAATCATTCTTTTTCTTAGTTTACATTTGTTGTCTATACTATGTTACTTATGTGGTTAATTATAATGATAAGTATGATGATACCATGTATTGGTTTATATATATTAGAACATCGTTGTACTAAAACTTGGGTAGTACAAACAGCATCTGGTTGGCCAAATACAGCATCACCAGTAGCTTGTTTAACACCGGGAACGTATGGAATTCCGGTACCTAAACATAAACCTGATGTAAAAGTTTGTCAACAAAAATTTAATGAATTATGTGCATTGGTATGAACTAGAAAAAAAGATATTTAGAGATAATTTGTTCTTTTTTTTGTCATTTTAATCTAGACGAATCATACATTGAAGTTTTGGGCAGGTTTAGTTGGCTCATTTTTTGTAGTTATGGGTTTGGTAAGATAGCTTTTTTTTTTGTTTTATAGAAAATTAATTATTTGATATTAGATTCATTTTCTCTGTTGTCTTGTGGCTAATTATGCTCATATAAAAGATGGTCGAAAATTACATGATTATGAAGAAGCTATACGAGAAGAAATTGAAATATCAAAATTAAATCAATAATAAAATTTTTCCTTTTTGTGTAAATATATTTAGGTTGAATATCATCTCTTTTGATTATCTTTGCCTTTTTTTCATGAATCTTAATATTTAATCATGATCTTGTGAATGGAAATATTCTCAACGAATAATTTAGATATTCATTTTGTCAGATGAATTTGTCCGTTGTCGTCCTTTAATTTTTATATAATATTTGTGTGTTTATATAATCATTGTTTTTTCTTTTTTATATCTTATTAGTTCTTGATTCTGATTGTGCTAAACAAGTGCCTTGCTACATTAGCCTTGTCTATGCATATTTTTCGTTTGTGTTATAGAATAAATAAATAATTGTACAATTTACTTTCATGTCTAAATATTATATGTTTAAAATGTACAAGAAATATAATGGATTTTTATATAAAAGGAAGGATAATCTTATTATAATTTTTATCTTTATTATCAATGTTTTATACTGATTTAACGCTATGGGAGAGTGAACACTCATTTTTGAGAGTATAGACATACAAGTAACGTTCATCGAGATTTTATACACTTAGCCCCCGACTGACTGAATAGAGATACGCATATTAACGCAATTAGCAATAAACGTGTGTTAAGTAAAGCACTAGATAAATAAAAGAGATGACTTGAAATATAAAAGTAATTCATTTGACGAGAAAAAGTTTTTTTCGTAATGTAAAACTTGATTTTTATGTTTATGCCGAAAAATAATTTTGAATATACTACAATTGTCTAATGAAGTTCAGTCTATATGTGTAATGTTATTATTTATTTTTAACAGAAATTGTGTCAATTTTTTTGTCATTACCATTTTGTAACTCAATGCGTTTTTATCCTTAAAAACTGATGTTCAAATCATAATTGATTACACTGAATGAAAATTATTTTTATCTTGTATTGGTATTTATCGAGTTAGTGTGCTTCTATGAATGATAGTTGATTTTAAAATTTAATGGCCGTTAAAAGGAAGCTAGTTGATTCAACATATTTTAAAGTCAATTCACAACTAGCTACAGTAACGCTATTTCTATGGCACAAAAAAAAAGAATAATGTGCTTGTAGTTAATCAAAATCTTATGTACAGATTCAGTATCTCACTCCTAATAATTATTATATCATCTTCTCACGTATGCACTATTGAACAATTGATCGAACTATTCAGTCATTAGATAATAATGATTATCCCTTCTAAAGATGTCTCAGGTCGAACATGCACGTTCGTAATCGACTGTAAATCGTTGTATATAGACGTATTACATGGTTCAATATTACGATCGTATTTCTTTGTATGTGATAGGAACAAATACGACTACCTACGGTGACATACTTAGTAAAATGAAAGTCATTTACGGTCTTCTTATACGATCGTAATACTGAGCCATGTAATACACCAAAATACGGCCGTATACAATGAAATACCGAGTGTATGCAGTCGTTTCAAAGTGTATACAAGTTTCGTACTCTACATTCTGGTATACTACTCGTTTAATTAGAATTCTAATGCGTATGTACTCTTTTTTGTCATTCTATGTAGTCATTTGTACCATATGGTAACTATGTTATAGATGGGCACAGATGAATTTCTGTTCCTTGGTTCTATCTTTACAGTCTAGAGAATAGTATATGAGGTACAATAATGACAAACTCTGGAAAGATCAATCTGATCTGCGAACGTGTGCCGTCAGTGATGCAGAATCTGCTGCTAAAACGAAAAACTTTCCCAAACGAACTTGAATTCTTGAAAAAATTTCCTCTGCTATCAAAATAAAGAATAAGTCAATTTGTCTTTTTCACTTGAAGATTATTTGAAGAGAGCGAAAGAGAAATAGATTTAACATACAAAAAAGATCACCTAGAAGACCGTCCGTTTTTAATCAGAAAGTAATAGAAGCAGTTTTCATTTCCAAAAGCTAATGGATTTCATAGTTAAATACGAGAAGAAGCTGTATATGAAGCTCATCCTCTTATTGATACAAGAGAAACATTTTCCTCAACGCGCGTTGGTGTACACTAAAAGATTCTGTACGTCTGGATACCACCATGAGTTCCGACACTGATGTTATACTTAATAACCGTATCGAAAGTATCAACTAAAATAAGAATGATACTATAGCCATTGACAACTTGACTTCATCCTGCCCTTTACAAGTTTTTCTTTTTGTTTTTTTTTGTAATGGAGTATAAAACAATAAGGGCGAGCTGTATTGAGTATTGATGGAGGTTCGATGAGAATGAAACATATTATTAGCAATCAATGTGTAGCTAGGCGAATGATTCACATAAGATGTTTACACAAATAGGATTTTCGTTTTCCTGACCGGACCATAACAGACGACGGACCTTTTCAGTTTGCCTTTGTTTATCATCCGTTTTTCTTGGCACAGCTTGCTAATTTTTTAACATCCTAATGTTATAAGGCTATTTAAATAGAAACCGAAAAATATCTTGGTAAAAATGCAAGAATGTCACATTTTAAGGAAAATAAGATGATTTGATGAACCATTTATTAATTTAATACCCCATATTTTTGTAGAAAATAAAAAAAAAAGAAATAAGGAAGCTTAACATTTAAAAAAGTCTATCTTATGATTAAGAATGTTTTGAATATATTTGACGAACAATTTCAGAAAAAAGGAAACGTCAAGATCTGATATTTCACCATAATATGGACTAATCATGATTATAGCTAGTCAAAATGATAAAATATTCTTAAAAATTAAAAAGAAAAACACATTGCCGACAATCTGTCTGCCTGATTTATGCCAGGTTTGAGAAATCAGAATCTATGTTTGTGTCATGCAATTACCTGTATTCAATTCTATTTACAAACAAAAATTGAATATTTATCAGAAACTATCGTAATAAATAATCAACAAACATACATAAATTTAACTGACTAGGAGGAAACAATACTAATTTCTGATAAAAATAAAATGTCTCTCATCATATTGTTGAGCTTGTCTATCATATCTATGATAATCTTAATACATTAGCAAGTTTTCTATCAGTTCAAAAGTTATACATGTCTAAACGCAATTACAAATATATACTATTGATATCAGTAAATTTTTAATTTTACTTAGAGTTAACAAAAAGTTCTAGCAATATTAAATAAAAAATATAAAGAAAAGACGATATTTTTAATTTTATTTTATCAAATGTTGAGGAGAGTTGCCATGATTATTTGTATGAAGTTCAATTCTTTCGAACAATTTATTGAAAGTTTTTTTGAACTCTTTTTCGAAAAATTTTTTTAGCTACATCGGAAACCGCATGAGCACATAATATTTCATTTATTTAATAAATTAAACTTCGTTCGATACGATTACTTGACCAAATATTAGCTAGTGTTAAGTATGGCGAATATGACTGCTGCGACATTATATTGATGCCTTCTTCTGTCAAATAACTAATAGCATCTGATGAGTATGAAGTCAACGTGATCGTCAAGCAGTTTTGTACATTTTTCACCTGATGCCTCTTTTTGTTTTTATATTACATTTACGAAAGGCTTCAGACAATTTTCAGTATAATACTTGTAACCTACAGTCTTGTCTTTATCTACACTCAGGACTATTTGATTTTGAAGAATATATTAAACACAGTTTGTGTTCAAATCTATTTCAATAAGTAATAGCTTTTGAAGATTCAGCTTCAATAAGCCCGTTATCATCAGATGACTTATGACTAACCTATATAAAATAAATCTATATTTCGTCACTAGTACTGCTAGAACACAACTGACATGATTTAAAAAAATTTCGCTAGAGTTTAAAACAAATGAAACATGATTAGCTCATGTAGTTTCCAAGGTAGTTAAAATTTTTTTGTAAAAATAGTTCAAAAAAAACTTTCAATAAATTGTTTGGAAGGATTGAACTTCATTCAAATAATTATCGCAACTATCCTCAACATTTGATAAAATAAGATTAAAAATATCTCCTTTTCTTTATATTTCTATTTAATGTTGTCAGAACTTTTAGTTAACCCTAAGTATATTGTTACTTTAATTTAATTATCTTCAAAGTATTCTATGTTGCATCAAAACATCATTATCGTAATTTTTTTTCTTGATTGATCTTACAAGGGACGCTTTCCAAAGGAAAAATCGCATTTGAGTTCGGACTCTATGTACTGCATAACGTAAATTTCAATAGGATAATTGTCATTAGACCTTTTCTCGAAAATTATAGTCATATTAGCTGATAAGACAATATTCATTAAGAAATCGAATGATGATATATCGATCATCTACGTCCGACAAAATCTAACCTTTTATTTCTGCGTAGTATTGGATGGACAACGCCATCTTGACTCTGATAAAGTACTGCAGAACTTGTCATCGGAAGAGTGTTTCACAATGAGTTCGAAAACAACAATTGAAGAATCCATTTCTATTGTCATCTGCAAACCTCGTCAATTCGCAGTCGAATGATGACAATGACGACCATCTACACATAGGCCTACTTGTAAATAGAATTATCATCTTTCATGAGAGATAACTAATTTCTGATAAATCAATATCTCATAGAAAAAACATTCTAACTATTGACCAGTAAGTCTGTCTGTAGATCAAATTTTAGTTCGAACTACCAATATTCAATTGTTTGGTGTATACCATCTTACAGACTTAAATGATTATAACTGAGGAGGTAAGGCTTAGAGAAACAGATTCTTCTGGAATTTTTCGGATCTTACTGAGGTTTATCAAATATGTACAGAGACCGTTCTCAAAAAATGATTTCTTCGTTAGGAAGTTGGATAGATTAGCACAGTATTTTTTTTCTCTTATCCTACATTGTTCTATTTCAAATCAATTACTGTAATGTCATATCACTATTGTTATACTCTCGTTCGATGTGTTTTCAATATATTGAATCTTACAAGTAACAGAATAATTAATCCAAACATTGTCATATTGAACTTATGTTCAATATAGATTGCAATTACATGAGTAGATCTTAGTCCCATATTGTAATTCTTTACTTTCATAAAAATTCTTTGATAATTTAACTACAAAAATTTGTTGATGAAATTTAAAATGAGAATTCATCATATTTAATGGTATCAGATTGATGAAAAGCTTTTTAAAATAATCATAAGTATTCTTATCGATAAGGATATTTCAAAATACCATAATTCGTTAATGTTTCAATTTTATCGAATAATGGTCAATTTACATTTTAACGAATGAACGTTTTCATGTACCGAATTTTAATATTCGATAGGTAATCACTAGTGAGAAAAAAGTTAAGTTTTATGTCATCATAAAAACACTTCCTCAAACCTTATATAAATTAAATTCGTACTTCAAATACGATAATGTTTTCATTGACTAATGTTCGGTGCCTTATTTTTGTAGAGAACGATAAAAAACAACAAATAAATCAATGATCTATTTAAATATGTCCGATGATGAGATAAATATAAAGTAAATATTAAAAAGAACGTGTTTTTTATACGTCAAGATGCCACTAGTTGACACTCTTAAAAAGGGTTATCTATTGCTGTTGTTGATTTGTAAATGCATAACGAAGCATTTATGAATGAATAAATAAAAGAACGGCGAAACAATATTTTATTTGCTGAGTAAGTCAAAAAAAGGACGTCACAGGTGACATAGATAAATTAGTATTTTTATTGCTAGATTTTATTGAATATGTCTGTTGATATTTCTGATCTATTACCAGTACTTGAACCTGATGCTGATCTTGATTTTAGTGTATGTTGAATATTAAGTAAATTTTTATTTTCATATTTTTTTTAATTTTTAGTCGACTCTTTCAAGTACATTATCTCGAAGAGAAAAATACAAAAATGCCATTACAATGACTGTTCTATTATTTATCAATTTATTAAATTTTATGGATCGATTTATTATTGCAGGTATTCATCAAAAATCAAATGAAAATATTTTATCAAACTTGTCATTTATATATAGGTGTACTAGACAAAATTATAGATAGTTTTTCTATTTCGGAAGGACTAGGTGGTCTTCTTCAAACAGTATTTGTTTGTAGTTATATGGCTCTGGCACCATTCTTTGGTTATTTAGGGTAAATTGAAGAAAATTTGCAAAAACTACTATAAACCCTATTATATTTACAGAGATCGGTATAGTCGAAAATGGCTAATTATTGTGGGCGTCAGTATTTGGTCCATGACTACTTTAGCCGGATCATTTGTACCAAATCATGTAATTTTCCCCCATATATTATATATAGAGAGAGAGGGACATAGATAACAGATGGGTCCTAATGGGTGGCTAGATATTGCATTTGCTTTCTCTGACTTCCTGATATGTTTTATTCACAAACAAATATATAGCAAAATAGGAACGGAGTGTGCATTGTACATTTTCAAAAATAACATCAAATTATTTCCTGTGTGTACTTTTGTTTGCAGAATAGACAATTCTCGAGTCGAACGTGTTGCGATCGTGTGAAACGGACTAGTTTTAGGTGCTCATAGAAGATACATTTCTATTTTGTGTGTTTGGATACTTTTTCCGATGTAATCTCACATCTAATAATTTTACAATGACGAGATTCAGATTAATGATTGACTATTATGAGATATCAATGACATGCTCGAAATTTTTCGGCATATTTTTTGTGGCTCGGTTTTGTGAATAAATGAATTTATTACAATAGCAATTGTTGCCTTATAGATCGTATTACAATACTTATTTTTCACTGAAACAATTATTAAATCATTAGAATAAATGTTTCTATTGGACTAGATGAAATACTGAAAATAAATAATAAAACATAAGACATGAAGAAAAAATTTTAAAAAAATTTGTCAACAAAGTGCAAAGAAAATTTCGAGTATCACATTGACATATGATGATGGTCAATTAATAGTTTGAATCTTATCATTATAAAACTACTAGATGTGAGATTACATCGGTAAAAGTATTCAAACACTTAAAATAGAAATATATTGTCTATATGCACGGCAAACAAAGACTCAATCATAAAATAATTTTGTTTTATTTCAATATTTAGAGTTCGCACTTCAGTCTATTGTGTTATGCATTTTGTTTTTAAATAAAACATTTCAGGAAAGCTAGAGAGAGCGAATATAAAGACTGGTCCTTCAATATAACCCATCCGTTATATATGCATACAAATGTTTTTCATTAACATAATTTGTTGTTTATTAGTTGTTTGTAGTTTTTGCAATATTACGTGGTTTAGTTGGTATTGGTGAAGCTTCATATGTCTGTGTAGCACCGACAATTATTGCTGATATGTATAAACATGATATGAGAACAAGAATGTTAGCTATTTTTAATATTGCTACTCCAGTAGGAGGGTAAAAAGAAATTATAGTTTTCCTTTAAAAATCTATTTAATAAAAAATTGATATAGTGGTCTTGGTTATATTGTTGGTGCATATGTTACAGTTGCATTTCATGGTGACTGGCGTTGGGCTTTACGAGTAAAGATTTATTTATTATTATTATTATTATTTGTCTTGATAATTATATAGTTCTGTATATGTAGTTTACCCCTGTTCTTGGTATCATTTGTGTTATATTACTGATTGTTCTTGTTAGAGACCCCGTACGAGGTGGTGCTGATGGAGTTCATATTTTAAAAAGAGATAATTGGTTTTTTGATATTCGAAAAATCTTTAAAGTGTTTGTTGAAAATTAATTTGATAAAAAGAAATATTATAAATCAATTTTTTTTATTTAGAAAAAGTTTTATTTTAACAACACTTGGATTTACATGGGTAGCATTTGCATTAGGCTCACTTTCTTGGTGGGGACCAAGGTTTCTTCAGTTAGCTCATATTTTGCATTATAAAATCGAAAATGATAAAAATGAAAGTGATAAAATAAAAGCCAAGTAACGAATCATCCATAATAAAAATGTTATTTATGTCTTTTATTATCAGGGTTAGTCTTTATTTTGGAATCGTAACTTGTGGTGCTGGATTTTTTGGTGTACTGGTTGCAAGTGAAATAGCTAGATGGTATGTTTACTTATGATTTTAAAATGATACCTTTGAAAGATTTTATGAATTTTCTTGATGTCTAACATGTCGATGCTGGTAGACAATGTTTTAAATTACGTACCAGAAACTAAACGTAACATTAAAAAAACAGTATATATCTTACGAACGAAAATTTCCCTACTGATTGATCACTTTTGAGTCGAAATAATATGCGTCATGTAGATACAAATAAATTGTAAATATTCTAAAAAGATTTCGAGCTCTTAGTTTATTGCTACTTAGATACTACAACTTTACGATAGCTTTTAAATGAATTTTCTAGTCTGCTCAGAAACACCAGGAAAACTAACTCTTGAATTTTGACTTAAAACTTTGTACAAAAACAGGTCTTAATGAGAATAGTTTATTGTGAAAGTTTCAGGCCTTTTAATTTGATTCTATCCTGAAATAAGAGCGTTCAATAGGAATGTGCAGTTTCAGTTTACAGACCGTCGACGTCATCGACGCAATGTAGTAAGTCCGCACGAACGTACTAGCACGAGTGTTCATCGAAGCACTGAAATGTGTCGCTACAAAAAGGGTACACTTTGATAGAATTGATGTTTCATTGTTGCAGCGAATGTGAATGTCAGTGTAATCAGTGTTCCAGTAGACACTGTGAAGACTACTGCAACAGTACACTATGTCAGGTGTAATAAGGTAAGGGTCTGAACTATTTTCAGGGTATTTATAAGTCAGCTGGTTCTACATAATGCACGTAGTTTCGACTCAAAAGTGATTTGTCAGTTAAGAGAATTCCTTTGTTATTAGCTTTTTATTCTAATTTCGAATTCATTTGACATTAGAATTAAGATCTTTTTAGGAAAAATTTCGTTTATAAATTATACTATTTCTGTTGATATGAAAATTGAATATTAATTTCATAATATAATTATTGATTTGTTTAAGAATATAAATGTAGAAGAATGTTTATATTTTAGGTATCGTAGAAGAAATCAGCGTGGTGATCCCATTGTTTGTGGTGTTGCTATTCTTGTATCCATACCATTTCTATTTATTCTACTTATCTTTTCTAAAGACAATATAATTGTAACATGGATTTGCATTGCTATTGCTGAAACATTACTTTGTAGTAATTGGGCAATAGTATCAGATATGCTTATGGTTAAATCTTAAAGTTTTCATTTTAATTTATAGGTTTTTTATGTTTGTTTTTGATAGTACATTATCATTCCACCAAGACGTGCTACAGCAAGTTCTATTCAAATATTTATTTTACATTTACTTGTTTGTTTGAAAAAAATTAAGTTTCTTATATATTAATTTTGTTTTATATGATAGGGTGATGCATCTAGTCCATATATAATCGGTTTAATAAGTGATTTCTTTCGAAAAGGATCAAAGAATGATGAAGTCATATGGAAATCCTTACGAAATGCTTTAATGTTAACACCAATCGTTGCTAGTCTCGGTGGTATCGCTTTTCTAGTAGCGGCTTTTTTTATTGTTCGAGATCGTCGTGAAGCCGAAGCTACTATAGAATGTAAATCTATTATATCGATTTTTCAAATATATAAGAATATTTGTGTTTTTACTTTTATTTTTCCTTTAGTGATGAACATTTCAGACAGTTTTCGAATGGAAGAGTCAAAAAAAACTTAGAAAAGCGAAAAAAAATAGTCGATAGCGTAAGTTTATTGCTGATAATCGCTTGTTCATCTTATTTAATAAATGATTTCATCAATCAAAACTATTTGAAAATGCATGATCTATTAAGTTTCATTTTTATTTGCAGTTGACAACACAGCATGCACGTGATTTTTACCAATACATTTTCACTATTTTTTGTATTTGACATTTATTTTTGTAATTTATTAATCATTTATTTTTGGCAATCTTTCTACATGAAAATAATTATCTTCTGTTAATAAATCGACAATAATAAACTAATAGAAAGTGTATTAGGAATATTAGTACCTCGTATTAGAATCTGTGATGAATACATTAGAGAGATAAAATAGTTCAAAACAAAAACAGAAAATGTTACTAAACGACTTTGAAACATGCGTCACAAAGAAGATGGTTCGATGATAATAATACTGATAAAGAGTAAGTTAAAAAAAGCTTATCAGTGTAGTTCTTTTGGGAATAAAATGTAGAACTTGTATGTCTTTTTTCCCGTTTCATATACGTTAAATGGAAAGTCTCTAACAGATGATAGGTTTTTCTCTTCAAGAATAATCTACCATGGAACAAGTGATCTGTTTTATTTATTTCTGAATTTAGAGCAGAATTTCTTTCTCTTTTCATTTTTTTACTTTTGCTCTACTTTCTATTTGTCTTGTTGCTATTCGTTTGATATTTATCTTTCTTTTTTTCATTTTTCTTAAACTACTATTATTATTATTATTCTAACTATTAATTTAACAGACGAATACATTTGTAGTAAACATTCGTTATATTGATGGAAGGTCTTAAGCTTTTGTGTTACTCATATGATAACTATAGCAAATCAAAACAGCGTCACCCATCATCTTTGATATCTATCATAAAAGTTTTTATCTATGAGACAATCAGACAATGGATTATTTAGAACATTGAAAAACGTATTTCAGCTATTTTAATTTTAAGGGAGGCTTTCAAAGATTCTAGAACTATCTAAACCCTATTGTTAACGCCGTTTAACATATTTTTCCGTTGTTAAGAAATTATGAAAGACCGTTTTGGTGCTCGTTAGTCCTCGAATGCTGTGAAAGCGTACTTCTAGCCAACTTAACATTGTTGAAGAACCACTTCATAAAACTACTTAATTAAAAGTTTATTACTATTCGTTTGAAACATTTTGGTGTCTAAAATAACGTGGTATTTGCCATGACTCGTAAACAAGATCAAAAGAATGAAGAATAACACTAGAAGAAAAAACCCACAAATGCAGAGCTGTATTCGTGGTGAAAACCAGAGCTATCGTGCATTCGATTCAACAAGACTGATAGTGAAGACCGAATTGTTGGCGGTACTGAGTTCTTTTAGTATACATATATGTAATTAATTTAAATAAATGCGAAAACCTCGGATTTAAATTCGAGTGTTATGTGTACTTCAAAAAGTGAACAGGTATATTCACTTTGTTTTTTATCATCTGAGACATATCTAAACTATTTGCTTTCTGGATGCAGTTTTTGTGCATTTTTAGACCTTTTTCAGCCAATGTTTTGTTAGAAAGCTACGATTTTGTTCAAAAGTAATATCAGATTCGGAATCAGCATTAAAAACTGAGTCGATTTATATATGTTGTGAATAATTCTGAGAAAAAATCCCTGTACCCCCCTCAGGGATGGTCTGGTCAATAATGACAATTTTTCCGATAACTCAACCATTTCTTGACGGATCCTTCTCATCTTCGAACTCGACCGAGACATTGATGAGACTAAACTGTGTAGAAAATTTCATCATGATCTGACTCTCCTTTCGAAAGTTATCATGTATACGGCCGGACGACCGGACATACTGACCGATTCTAGAGTGTACTCACTTTTTGAGTACACAAAAAGAATAGTCATGATATAGGTTTCTCATATATTTACTTGTTTCAACGATGTTAACGGTGACGATTGAAAGTGTATCCATATAAAAATGATCGATACATCGCTGCTGTTGCATTCTCCATTCCAAACACTGACTATTCTACAAAGTTTCGTTTAAATTATTATTCATCGCTCATAATTCATCTTAAAATGTAGAAATATCATCAAATGAAGACTTCTGTCTCTTTTAATCAGACAGTTCATCTTATTCAAATATCAACAATCACTTCAACGAAAGTTTTTCTTTTTTAACAAACTTTTATCATGAGAATAATACGATAAATGAAACAATATAACCAACAACGCATACAAAGTTTACATTAAATCAAGCAAAAAAGAAAACAAAAAAGCTCATTACCACCCAGTGATATGAGACAAGCTAGATTTGGAATGAAGAAATACATGCTAAATAAATATTTATATACATAAAATAACCTATGACGTGAAAGTTTTGACATAAAATCTTCGCTTATTTTTTGACTACTAAAAGACAACTGATTAGAATTAAAAGTTTTCTCTATATGCAAATACATGTTCAGATTTTTCTTCTCGGGTTAAATTAAACAACTATCAAGAAATTTTGTGTAAAAGCCCAAGGCTGTGTCTGAACAAAGCAAAATAACGATTTTATCGCAGTTCTTAGTTTGTATCTTGGAACAGCTTCAACTTAACATTATTGAATTCTGTACAAAATTAGATATTACAATCAACGAAATCTAACTTCTTGTGACTCCAACCAGTTGTCTTTAAGTAGTCGAAAAGTGAGTAAATATTGTCTGTCGAGACTTTCGTGCCATAGGTTAGAAAAGTATCTTCTCTTTAAATATTCATCAATTTAACTTTAATTGGTAATGATTCTGTCTATTGATATTTTTGTTGATTTGAGATTAGAGTTTTTCTTTTTCATTTGTATTATCAAAAGCAAGTTCTTGAGCATGCATCGATAAAGTATGTTGTCTAGATGTATGATGACAAAGTGAAACAATCAGATCTATATGAAAAAAAAAAGGCAAATAAATGAAATATTTCAAAGAATAAAACACTTACGCCAAAGAATAATTGATAATAAAAGTAAAAAAACAAAACAAATCCATGTAGGGATATTCGGTTGTTTACGAATAAGATCATTCCATTCATTATGAACATCATCAAGAAATTGTTTAAAACGATTATTTTTTGATTCAATTGTATCTTTTCGATGAATAATAAAATGTGTAATTTTATATGTATCATCTTCATTTAATGAATCAGTATGAATTTCATTTGATTGTTTAATCATATTTTTATTTTCGTTTAATTCTCTTATCTTATTAATAAACATTCGAATTGAATCGATGTTAAATGATGAATGTTCCGATAATGGACGTTGACGAAGCCGAATAAGAATTACCGATGGTGGACGTTCATTTTCACCTGATTCTTTTATTTCCTAAAAATTAAATTTCAATTTCACATACGAAACTTTTCAGTCTGTTTTTTTACTGATGAATAACTCGATGAACAACCAACAAGACAACTAGCTTGAATTGGTTCATCTGTTGAAAGTAATTTACATTGAACATTACAATCTTCATTATGCAATTTATAATCACAACCTAAAAAGAAAGTTTGTTTTTGTTTTCGTTTATCATTTTTTTTTATTTATTAAATTAACAAACCTTTTTTGCATGCATTCAAATTAGATAAACTAGCAACATAATTTGAATGACATCCTAAATAACAATTATTTTGAGCTTGAAATAGAGTTTCTAATAAGCCAAATATTGGAGATGAAAACAAGAAAATGTTAAATATGAAAAGTTTTAACATGATGAAGAAAAATTAAATAAATATCCAGCGCTTTTTTAAAATCTAATTTCAAAAAATAGAAAGGCAAAGTTATTGTATAATTTAAATATAGAAATAACAACGACGTAGATACAGTAATAGCAATGCCAAACAACAAAAGATGTAGCACGTGATCGAAATAATATAAAGTATTGCGAGAAATACGAATCAATATCGAAGGCACTTCGTGCAGCGACATCTAAATATGATGGAAATATCTGAAAAGAAAGAAACTGCAACAGATTGCATCAAGTTAGAAGGTATATTTGTCTATATATTTTATTTTTAGGAAGAAAATAAGTTTCACGCAAAGAATAGCGTTAAACTAGAAAGATACTTTAAAGAGTGTACAACAAATTTCAATTCAGAAGAACAATGGATATACGAGATGTCGCTAAAACTAACCTCTTAATTTCAGTTGATCAGAAGAATTTCCTATCATAAATAATCGATAACCATGATGTATTTCACATGCTGTTGATATCAGCTTTTGAAATTGAGTATCATCCTAAGTGCATTAATGGGTTCTACTAGTTCGGTGTTGATTTGATCGTTCATGCATATGTGACCATAGACTAATCGAATAACAGACATTCTCAAATTGAAAGATAAATATAAATACTGAACAATTTTGAGAATTTTTTCTTTATTAGATGTTGATTGTTAGCTGAATCGAAAAAAAAACGAATCTATAACGATTGGCAAGATACATGCAATTGCTATGGTTATAAGTCATTAATTTTATCTGATTATGAAAATAACCATACTCCGAGATAAGATCTATATCTCTTTTTTTTTTCATTCAAAAAGAAGACGAAAAAGCAATGTGATATACACTTCAGTAGATAAAATCCTGAATTAGAGATAAGCTGGCTATTTCGACGGTACTTGTATAATGTACATTCTTACTTATTTGAAGCATATAAAAATCAGCAGCGGTTGTATATACTGACCTATACAATAGAGTGGGCCAATTGTTGACTTCAGTAATAATAGACCAAGTAGCCATGATTTCTCATATACAATCAATCTATTCGAACGTCTTTATTGAAAAGTTTTGTTCTAGACAAATATCAAGAAAAAATTTCATCAGCCTGATTATAATACCAAATAGAATGATAAAAATCGATTATTGTTCAATCAAATTCATCGATTGCTTTAAGCATCTGAAAATATTTTTAGAATCTTTCAATAATTCCTTCAATACTCTCGAACAAAAATAAACAGAATACTTCTAGTCCCGTATTTAAATTGAGCAAAGTTCTGATCATAATTCGTCAGTTTTTGGCTTGCCTGAGATACTTTCAAGCAGCCAAAAATGAGCGAATATTTGCATCATAAACTTTGGCTCAAGTATCCAATCCAAATTAATATTTTTGGATTTCCAAGAAGTACTTCAAGAATTTCAAACAAAAGTCAAGACTAAATCTACTCCTATCCTACAGCTTTTTATTCATCGGAAATACCTTCAAGGGAACAAAAAAATAAACAAACATTTTGTCTCCAAACTTTTGACCTATGCATTTATACATACGTTGTCACTCATGTCAAAATTAGAGATCATGCATGTCATTGAAAGATTGTTCTTAATGTCTTGACATTGAAAAACATACAATGAATTCACGTTTTATTAATTGATAATCAAGATTGAAGTGAATAGAACGAGTAGTCGATTAAGAGTCGGACACTTACTTCGTTTTTGTTTTGAGAAGCACAGACATAATTGAAAGTCTTCGTTTTTATACCGTTTGATAGAAAGTTTGTTCTTCTACAAAACTTTTTATTGTATGTGCTTCTCAATTAAATGTTTTTTGTCCGCTAAAAACGGGAAATATTAACATCTATTCAATTACCCAACTGCAATCTTCTATTTTATGCAGACATTCATGGAGATCGATATATGCAGAATTTTACAGAGAATCTTATAACATATTTGAAATATCAACAGAGCTACTATTTGAGAAATTCTATCATTTTTTGTACGTTGCAATTGAGGGAATGAGTAGCTTTCAATTGTTTGAATTTTTCGATTTCAAAAACAACAAACATAGTTTTGTAGAACGAAGACTTCTCTATCAAACGGAATAAAAAAACAAAGTCTCACAATTCTGTCTATGCTGTCCAAAAAAAAAAAGAAATAAAAATGTCTCATTCTTTATGGACCATAAATTATGGACCATCCGTTTGTGTAATAGACTGTTAATAAAGATATGGAAAATAGATACCTGAATGTTCGATAATATAATTAATTTATTCTCTCATGGACATGTCGTAAATATATTAATCTACAATTATTTGCCAAATTTTATGCTATACTTGAATATCTTATGAATCAATTTAAAGTCGATCTGCTATTTATGATCATTTTGATAAAGTAATTGGATACTTATAAAACACTTATGAAGAATTAACAATGTAACACAACTATCAAATCTATTAATTGTAACTGTAGCTGTAAATACAAAGAAAGACAAACCGATATTAGTTAAAAGATGCTTTTAACGATTTTATGTTAATCTCTCGATGTTGTTTTTTATGATGACAAAAATGCAATCCGTAGCAATGAAAAAAAAGTATTGTTTTGAAACCCTTTTTTAAATATATACTGTAAATATTTGTTCTTCACTATTTTATCATAAACAGTATCAAGATATATATTTTTGTACGCATATAAATACGTGAATTCATCCAGTACAGCACTTCATTGTATGTTGCATATTAATCATGTTAAGCTTTCTAATATTTCTGTATATATTTGAGATTTGTCAATGTTTACAACGTCCACTTGTTGTTGGACATCGTGGTACAGCTTATTTACCTGAACTTACATTAGCTTCTCAATCAATGGCTCATGCTTATGGAGCTGATATTATTGAAATTGACGTATGCCTTAGTCGAGATAATCAATTAATCGTTATTCATGGTAACTATGATGTTTATTTTAATCCGATAATTATTTTTTTTTTTTTATAGATATCTATTTAGATGGAGTTACTAATGTCGGTGATGTTTTTCCCAATCGAAGTCATTCCGATGGTCTTAATTATGTTATTGATTTTGATCTTGATGAATTACGTCGTTTAAATATTCATGAACGAGTTCGACCATTGAACGGTACACAAGTTTATCCATTACGTTTTCCTTCAAAATCGAAAGTACCTTTTCATCTTTCAACACTTAATGAAACGATTGAATTACTACTTGGCCTTAATCGTGCAACAGGTCGACAACGTCAATTACTTATTGAAATAAAAAAACCTGAATATCATTCAAAATATAATAAATCAATATCATCGATTGTGCTTGCTACATTAAGTGCTTACGATTTAACACGATCAAGTGATCCAATTATTGTTCAAACATTTCATATTGAAGAACTTATGTATATTCGTAAAAATCTTGGTAGTCAATTGCGTTTATTTGCTTTAATGACATGGAATTACATTCAAGAATCATCAAGTGATTATGATTTTTATCGAAGTGAAGACGGTATTAGAAATCTATCAAAAATTGTTCAAGGATTAGCACCTAATCATCAATTAGTTGTTGATTATGATTTAAATGGTGTAATTATTGGTACTACTAATTTGACAAAATGGGCTCATCAATATAATCTTAATGTTTATCCATATACATTTCGACAAGATCTTTTTTCTGGTAGTAGTTTTGAAGAACTTGTTAAATATTTTTGGCATACAGTGAAAGTGGATGGTTTTATAACTGATCATCCAGATGTAATTCTTGAATTATTGCGGAGCAGTGAAACATCTACTAGTTCAATTGCTGTCTTACATCTGTTTTTATTAATAATTACATTTCTTTTTAATTATCATTAGAATATCGAAAATGTGTTTTTGATTGTTTTCATAATAAATAAAAAAAATTAATGAGAGCAATAATAAGTATTCGGTCAAAAAATGAAAGAGATAAAAAGAATGAAAATGATGTCGCACATGTAAAATGATTTAATTGCCGTACTTCGTCAGAAAGTAATTTAATTTATTACTTCTTAATTTACTCCGCGTGTAAGACACAATCTAAAAGGAGTTTTAAAGTATAGAAGTTAAACTTTGGTCCATTCTTCAGTATACTCTATCTATTGTAGAGACTAAGGCAGTAGCACCACACCGATGATCGAGCTGGCTCTCGCGGGGTTTTAAAGCCTTCCTTCGGAAGAGAAAATCTGTATAAAATGCTACTCTTATCTCCTTCCGCAGACGTAACAGATACTTTAGTATTGTCGCTCCATTCTCATGGACTATAACAGACATGCTTGTGAAATTAGTGTGAAACAGAATTGAACTTAAAATAGCTGTTCTTTGTTCGTCTTTTGCATTTTACTTCAGCACTCAGTATACTAATATCTTATCAATTGAATCAACTAAATGTGTAGATGACAATAACAATTTAAGATCTCTGAGGGACAATACATAAAAGTATACTATTTAGTATCCGTAGCTATTGCTATTTCGAATGAGAATATACTCCAATAAGCTTGTAGCAAATTTTTCTCATGCCTATTGATTGAATTATTGATGTACATCATCGAAAATAATAATTCATCAACTTCCATTGACAAATTTACATTTATTATGAATGAAAGAGTTTAATGTTTATCAAATGATTTTGTTTTACTTGATATCGTGTACTATTAAGTTAACCTTGTTATTTAATTTTGCATTGCTGTAATATAATGTCATCAGTCNATCCAATTTATTTAACCATGATTGATTGAATTTTGTTTTATAGTCGGGCATTTAATAAATATAGGTGAAAATGACGCAAATGTTACAATGCGATTATCTATATATATATATATATATATATATACTTGTGTCGCCTATTCAACACAACGGACGTCTTTTTTTCCACCACTAAACATTATCTTTTTTTTTGTCATTCCGCCGTCTTATAAATAAAGAAGAATCATCACGTTGTATGATCTGTTATAGTCATCCGATGTTTTCTTTTAAGCGATAATT